ATCGTATTCGTCCACGATGGACACGATAGAGATCGAATCGCACAGATGCTCACCACACCGCTGGTGGTCGCAGTGCCAGGGGTCAGTCGGGCCAGATGTAGGCGATGAAGGTCTCCGCTCGGGTGTACATGCCGCATCAGCGCGGAAAATAATGCTGCTAAGGCTGGAGACGTACGGCATCCACAGCTGAGCACTACCACATATACCGGTATCTGATAGTATTACAAAAGCTATTGCAAAATTGCTGAAAGCCGCCAACAAAAGAATCAAGTTTATGTGGATGTGGCGAGGGTACGAATCACTTTAGTCCACTCTACAGTGCAACAGCTTCTTCAGATCCTTACAAAATGATTGAATACCTTCGCGAGGATCCACGATGCGGAGATTCAACGTTGAAGCCCACTTCAATTTGGCCCAGCCAATCGGAGCTGAGGCCGTAGAGCTCGGGATGATTATTGGTGGAATAACTGTCAGCCAATGAGATTACTCAGTATTTTGGCGCCAAAAATCTTGTCGATTCAAAGGTCGCAAAGAGTACAACACAGACCCCCGCGCCGATCGGCGCCGCGGTCGCAGTTTAGATTCTCATTTTTCGTTTTGCCAGCCGATCATCACGCCTCGGGATATGTTGCGATAAGGAGGTCCCGCTAGTCTCCATCTCCACAAAGGTATTGATCGGTGTGAAGAGGAATGCTGTCCGAATGTCAAGCCACCCAGGATCACCGCCCAATCTCGTCATTCCTGCTGGACGGCACGCTGTCAGCCGTGCCAGCATGATGCTCGTCAGTTCATGGCCTCCACGATGTCCGTCGAGCTGCTGTATTGAATGATTGCCGCCACGAGGACGACTGGAAGCTCTCCGTGACGACCGACCAAAACAAGGGGTTTCGGCAGAGCTACGACACTATATGTCGAGCCCAACGTCCTCTCTACTGCCCGAGTGCTCCTGGACCGGCTAGTTCGTCACCACACTGACGTCACGCTGCGTGGCACAGTACCCGCTTGCTCATGGCAACCATGATGTGCGCCAATCTGCTTTGCTGCGTGTGAGCATCCGCGAGGGTGGCTGCAGCTTTCCATACCATACCAACAGAACTACGACAATATCGGAAGAGCAAACCTACTGCTGGCTTGTCCGTGCGCATGGCGGCCGGAGCGTTTCTTACTAGTGTTGCTGCTCTGGGAGCATGGTATGTTGTCCGTCGTACGAGCTCAGTGCCTGCCTGTTCATGGGTACCCAGCGGGTCGAGAAGTTTTGCAGTGTATCCTGGCTACCAAGCAAGCAGCTACCCTCATAACGTGGCTGATATGGGCTAGGTTCCTATAGCTCTTCGACGACTTCAATCAAGATCAACGTATTGAGTAATGCAACGTATACATGACCGCCTCGCCCGTCGTCAAACCGGCGTAGCTCAAAATGACACACTGTCAGCTATACAAGCATGTCATCAACTTGGAACGGCCGGCACACCGTTTGTGGAACCGCTACATGGTTGGTCGTCTATCCCGCTGAAAGTCACGTTGACTTAATCATTCTAATCTCGCACTGCTGGATTGGTTGATGTTCGTCGAGTTAGCTGACTAAGCCAAGAGAGCCAAGGTCATCTTGCTATCAGCTCACAGTGTGCTCGTAGCTTGTCGCTGACGAGCGACATGCTAGTAATCAACCTGGAAGGGGAACTCTATCGTACCGAATCCCGTGTATCCGCCCTGGCGATAGCAGCAACAACCTTTGTGACAAAAAACGCAAAAAGTATTATAGATTTTTCAGTGCATCAGAATGCATGATACTGTAAACTAGTAAATAACAACATTAGATTGAGCATCAAAAAGAAAATAAAAGAAAAATCTGAAAAAAACAGAGTAAACGAAAACACCTAGACGGATGTTTCAATAAGCGCTATATAGCTCTTGCGTTGTGACGTGCAATCGATACACCGCAAAAATGAACGTGCAGATCCCCTGCCCACGACAAGACTATTGCGAGGTTGCATTATCATGCCGATTAGAACAGAGCAGAGAAATTCAGCTGTCAAACAATGGTGTGTACCTATAGCAGCGCTGCTGAGTCACATAGCCGTATATACTGAATAGGCTTCTTCCAGCTGAGTATGTGTGGGTGATCGCGGTGAGGCCTACCAACGCTTGGATATGTCGACGAGAGCTAAAGGCCTATATCGTTAAATCCCCACCACTACCATTTGCCACCTGGCTGAGATATCTACACGAAGGCTTACATTGAACCACAACTTACAACCCAAAGATCACGTACTATATAATGAATGGACCGCCAAAGAGAACATCGATTGTCGCATCACATTAGGTACATCAATGTTCGTGGTCATGCTGATTTACACGGCGCAACGAAATCGTTCGGCCTTTAGAGAAGCTCCATCCATTGTGCGGTTGATGGTCGTGACCAAGACGCACCCTGAATCTGTGCAAACGCGGTAAGACGACTCCCTGAATCATACTTTTTCTTTCCGCTAGGATGGCTCCCTGCGCAAACTGCCTTTTTGGGAAACTTATAATTCTCCACCGCGGTTTCCATAGGTACTATCAGCGCTGCGTTCAGCTTGACCTCACGTGTTCTCTCTGCGACCACATGCGGTAAATACACAGGTACGGCTCGATCTGCGACCCTCGCCCCCGCGTGTATTGTATGCACCTTGGTCACGAGCACGGCGACCACTAATAGCGTGGTTATCATCTACAATTTGTGCGGTTTGGTCTCCGCAGAGTCCATTGCGAAATAACGGTAGTGTGGCGTTTAGGGCGAGCTTCACAACCGCGTACATTGCATGCACCTTTGCCACGAGCACGGCGATAACCGACAGTGTGGTAGCCATCAACAATACGTCCGGCGTGGCCTCCGTCGTGTCCTTTGCGGACAAATACGGTAGTGCAGCGTTTAGGGCGAACTTCGCCACTGCATGCATTGATAGCACCTTGGTCACGGGCACGGCGGCCACCGACAGTGGTGTGAACATCTACTATTTGTACGGTTTGGTCTCCGTCGTGTCCAATGCGGACGAATACGGTAGTTCGGCGTATAGGGCGAGCCTCGCTCCTGCATGCATTGTGTGCACCTTGGTCACGAGCACGGAGGCCACCGACAGTGTAATAGGCTTGTGGATTTCGTGTGGATTCATCTCCGTCGTGTCCATTGCGAATTAGTACGGTAGTGCCGCCTTTAGGGCGAACCTTGCCACCGCAGGTATCGAGTGCATCTCGGCCACGAGCACGGTGACGACCAATAGTCTGGTGAGGATAAACCTTTCGTACGGCTCGGTTTGGATTGGCTCCGCTGTGGATGAGTAAGAGAGCATGGCCTTCGGGGTGAGCGTCGTCAGCGCAGGTATCGCGTGCATCTTGGCCACGAGCACGGCGACCACCGACAGTGTGGTGAGCATCTACACTTCGTACGGTTTGATCTCCGTCGTGTCCTTTGCGGGTGGCTCAGAAGGGCATGTGTTCAAAGATTTTTGCGGCGGTCGACAGCTTGTTGATGACATGCTCATAGAAGTGGCGGTTTGGTGGCTCGATGCTTCATAGAAAGTGTTAGGGCTGATTTCTTCTAGACAGCACCATGTACCTAAGGAATTATGAGCAACTCTCCTATTATTATCAGCCAATAGGACGCAAGAATTTGTCTCTGTATGGACAGCACAATGTCTGTAAAGACCATCTGATGGAGCGGTAGTGAAAGAGTTAATAGCAGGTCTTAAGGTGCTGGATATTCACGTTGAATCCCTTCGTAAGGGGAGAAGATTATGACTATCTGTCGAGCGTTCGGACATGTGTACTGTACTTGATTGTTACAGGATAACTGTAGGCCTGATTCTAGTTCAAAATCATTGCGCTTATGTTCAGCTCGAAAAGACGTCAATTTAGAATGAAGTGCGGTAGATGCTCTAGCGAAGAGCTCGATCGTTGTACAGACCCGCATATCATCGCCTTCGGAGATGCGATTTGTGACGGACTAGTCGACTTTACAAACTCATTCGGCAGTTTACCAAATCATTTTTGTGTATGTAGACCAAGCCTCAATATGTTGTCCTAAGACTCAGTCTTATGTCGTCCCAAAAGAGGGATGGACCAATCAGCGATCTAGTTTGCGGGATATTGGGATGATCTGTAAGGTTGACACCCCTTCTCGTCCCACTGCGACGTTGTGTCAGTGTTGGCACCACGGACTTTTTATTTTGGCCAAATTTGGGCCGAAACTTACTTTTGCCACTGGCTATCGGTCATACGGCCAATGCCTGGCCTGACAGTATTGGACCTATTTTACAGTACTTCAGTCGGTCAAGAGGCGAGAAGGATAGCACATGAGCGGCCACCATGCCAGGATGCAAGACACGTTAAGCCTCTTCCAGATATGGGGGAGGCTCCAGGGGGCTACAGCTTTCGAGAATGCAGATTCTGTAGGGCTGCTTACGAGAACGAAGTCACTGGCACTCCGCCAAATGTACTAATTGGACGGTCACGCAGCTACGTCAATCATCTTGCCCGGTGCACGCCCTTTCAGAACGCGCACCTCCCTCCGGTTTTGACTCCAGTACTCTCGATCCCAGCAGCACCGTCCCAGGAAAGGCCTGCACTCTCGTTCGAAGTCACGCCAGAATTGAGACCTGGTTCTTTTAGTACAAGATCACACCGAGATGATGCAGTTCCTGTTCGATCGAGTGCTCGAATCGCAGGACAATCTCGGGCTCGTCGAACACTCGCGCTCGGCAAATACTCCACCACCGCGCGACGCTCCCCCCTCGTGGCAAAAAAACACCGTCGGCAAAAAAACCGAAGAAGCAAAGGCGCAAGCAGTGAGGACAAGGAAATAGAGTGCTATTTTTTACCTTCCTGATCGCTTCGTCGAAAAAACATCAGTTCGCCGTCTTTTTGAGTTGGTATGTCCCGGCATTTCGGCCATTTTGCCCTCTCGCCGGACGCTAGGTAAGCGTATCCGGCAAGAACATGCGCATCGATGCAAAACAATGGATATGAAAGCTCTCAAGGAGATGATGGAAACGACAGAAGGCTGGGTTAATTTGCTTTCAGATGTCTGGCAAAACATCAGTAAGGACCATTTGCTGGGATGCCAGTTGTCGTTGTTTTGCGTGCTTCTCACGTATGGGCTCCTACCGGCTGGAGATGAAAACCACGGCATCGCTATTTTCAAACGACTGGAGCAAGTACTGGAGCAAACGCAAGAAGAAAACTGGCGCATTGGTGCAATCATCACCGACAACGCTGGGCAGTGCGGCCGCGCACGTCGAATATTAGGGCTTCGCCGGCCTAACATTGTTTTTTTTATTTTGTTTCGCGCACGACTTGAACAATTTGGTCAAAGCAGTGTTACGGTCTTCTTTTAAGGACGTGGCAGCCCGAGCAGCAACAGCAGTCAATGTTTTGAATGCTGCATCTAGCAAATGGCAACCACGTACACGACAGATGATGAAGAAATGTTACGGGAAAGCGCTGGGACTTCGTACACTTTGTGAAACGAGATGGAACTCAATGCGATGATGTTTTGCATCTCTATTGCGCATTCAATCAGCTCTGCAAATGTTCTATCGTCGTTACCAAAGCTACACCGACTTCCCGACCCGGTTGCAAGCCTTCGGCGATCCTCTGTTTTGGGATGCGCTTAAAGAAGCCGAAGCTATAATTGCACCACTATCGTACGCGTCCTATCGGCTACAGCGCGATGAGAATACGCTTGGTGACGTTGTTTTGTCATTTCGCGATATCCGCAGAGAATTTCAGAAGCATCTTGTTCGCTACAGGCGCTTGTGGATTGCGTCGAAACCCGTTGGGCGCCGTGTGAGCAACCCTTGTTCATGTTGGGTTTTGCATTACACCTGCTGTATGCTGAAACCGCGCGAGAACTTCCCAATACTGCTGTGTCTGGAATTGGATCATTGGGCAAGGCAGTCATGTACTACTACCGTCGGCTTTTAAGCACTGATGATATCGGCCAGATAAGGCGCGGCATGGTGGCCTGGATGACAGACCGACTTACAAGACAGAAGGCTAGTGAATCCGAAGGGTCTCCGTGGGAGTTCTGGGAGAGTGTTGGAATGCATTTTGTCAAAGCTCGCGATGCGGGTGCTGTCGATAGCCGTGAACACAGCGACGTGTGAGCGCCTATTTAGCGAACTTGGAGCTATTCACACTACCAAGCGTAATCGCATGGATGCTCTTAAGGCTCTTGATTTTCAGATCATAGCACAGCATGTCCGACAGCAAGAGTTGAAGCAAGATTCTCGTGATGTAAAAAAAAACTCATCATATCTGCAGATGAGAGACAAATAATTAGTGATGTTGTAAGCAGTGCAAGCTTGTTTTCTCGATCACCGCAGCGTGAAGCAATAAATGAAGACGAGGATAGCGATGGTGAAGACCCTGGCGACAACGTTGATGGCAACCCGACCCTTTTGATGTGGGGTGAATATCTAGATAAAGTATTTGAGGATGACAAAATTGATGCAGACCATACCGCAACTAGAAGCACCTACACGCCAACCAACCGGGCGCCTGCGTCAAGAACGTCCGATTAAGAGTATTCGGATGACGAGAGCATCAACGAGCTCGAGGAAATTGCGGAGGCTGTCAAGCCAAACTTTACTGACCATAATGATCGCAATTTTCCACAAGAAGCCTCGGCCCTTCAGGGATTCCGTGGTCAAAAGGCAACGCTAGCAGATCTCTTCGGGTAAATGGGTGTTTAAGACGCACGAAACGCTGCCATGACATAATGTGCTGAGCAAGTCGGTCTAGTAGTAGCTGTATCCTTGCCGTTAAAAGGAAATCACACAAGTAGACACCATCTTAAACTCACTGAATTCTACTAGCTCAGTTACATTAATCCATTAGAAGCCTAACATCCTGCAACAGCAACACATCATCATGAAGGCCGCTAAAACCACGGCTTCTGCGTAGAACTTGTTTCATCTATGCTGTACACATTGGCATGGTGTCCCGAAACGTTGAAGTTGACCTCCACCACCTTCCGGAGGCAGTCCATTCTTCCCATGTATGGACCCCTTTGCTTCCAATCCGCTCTTGACCACATCTGCGTGTGTGCCGATAACAGCACCTCCCGCTCCTGTAGTTGCTCCAGCCCAAACGATTGGCAGCATCGAGGTCTTGCCCGTAGGCTGGTCGGCCCGTGCATCGCGAAGTGTAGCGTAGGAAGGGAAGAACAACAAGGTGTACGGAACATCTCGTAGAAAGCAGAATTGGGCGCCTTGGTACAATATCCGGACACTCAAACCCCAAGCGATTTCCATCACCTCTTGCCGTTCCGCCACGTGCAGCAACGTCTGCATCTGCAATCGGATCTTGACAATGTCAACCTGCACGACCAAAGAAAAGCTTCAGTTACCAGAGAATTTAGGAGCGTTCAAGGGTTTCAAGTACGTACTGGTAGAGGAGTACTCGGTGCCGCTGCTGTAGGCGTTCCCGGAAAATTATTGTCGGTGACCGTGCTGCTGTTTTGCGCCGCTCAGCACGCTGTGTTCGATCAAGAGCCCGCCAACAGCTCGATGAACGTGGCGGCTTACGTGCGCGCCAACTTCCTGGCGACTCTACCGCGCCTTCATCGATGCTATCCTGTCGCCCAGGTATCTCGCCTGACGAGCGCGCGTCTTTCCCGTCACTTGATTTCTTGCGATGATAAGACCGCAAGTTATTACTTAATACATGGGTAATTAGATAAAAAAACAATGATTTAAGCTATGGCCTAAATTCCTTCCACCAAGGCTTTTGCCCTTTCGACTGGCTTTTTACGATTGGCCGAAAGTAAGGGACTTTGCCAACACTGGTTGTGTGGCACGATCTTAAGATACACAAATCCCGCTCATCTCAAGTCCAATCGTCTATTCCACAGGCAGCACACACCGCCGACCCGAGCCAAGCCATGACGCACGCTGAAAAGTACTGAGAAAAGATTAACAGTGGTCGACAGCATTGAGGACGCTTTTTTGTGTAGCTGGAGCAATTAGTGACCTTTTTTGATGCGGTTTTTAGGCTGAGCAAAACTTATGCTGATCCTTGTATGCTAGAAACGGCTGGGAAATACCATAAGTAATGAGCGTGCAAATTGATTTTGTAGCTTGCCTCCTAGACTTTTCTGTGATTTTGCCAATAATACGTTTCTATTTTAACTTTATAGGTTTATGATATATAATATTTTATGACACATTTATATTCGAATATAAAGGTTTTATGATTCAGACTTGAATAAAATAAAGAACAGTCACAGCTGTGTTTTGAAACAACTACTCGACAGATCACACTGACACGTATACAAATAGAATCTGTAGAGCTAGAGCTTTCGATTGGTGTATTTTAATACCAGGGCAAAAAAAGCGTCCTCGATGCTGTCGACCACTGTAAACGTCGTCGTCGTGGGCTAGTATCGCCTAGAACGAAAAGTATCTCACGCTCAGCAAACTATCCTGAGCTCAAAGCCACAACTACTCTAGAAGCGTTCGAGCCCCCGGCACATCTCCTACCCTTGATATACACCCAGCTGGCAGCTGAGCTGTGTCCGCAGAGCTGCTGCAGAGCGACTCGTTCTATCACGTATCTGTGGCGGATATCGATGTGGCGTTCAGATACTTTCAAGAGATCAACGACTCCTCACTAGTGCTGGTTTGGAACATGTTCAGAACATATTTCACTTTTGTTTAAAACTGTTCGGAATTGTTTTGAACTGTTCCTATTCCAACCAGCAGTGTACAAAATACATTACACATAGTAAATATGCTGCTGAACCAGCGAGAAGAGGTTAGCAAAGAAAGCGTATAGCTGTGGCGAGTGGTGCGAGTGCCGACAACTACCAAACGTGTGTTTTCCCCTAGGTCTCTTAATTTCAAAGTCGCTCTTTAAGCACCCGATGGCAGATTATTTTGCCAAGCAGGTTGACGACTGTCCTATTGCCCGCTACGACTCCGAGCGCTTCTTTCAGCACTTTCAGAGGCCAGCCATCGGTTTTATCTTTGCACAAGAGGATATCACTTCAAAGAGAGTCCCGATTGCCGAGTCTGACGCCAACCCCAGCGGCCGTAAAGCGCACCCGGCCGTAAAGCGCACCCGGTCGACCGCAAACAATACGGAAGACCGTCAAGAAATCGCTCGGTCGGGGTCCGCCAACACTTCGTCCTGAGTGCAGTAATGCTTCCCAGTTGAGATCCAGGCCTGCTGAAACCCATGAGACGATGCTACTTGCCCCTAATACGGCCATCACAGAAGCATCTGAGACGGGCCAATGGGAGTGGGCTCTACAGATATTAAGGAACTTTGAATGCGATACATCCAAGGCTTTCTATCAAGCAGCAATCAGAGGAGATTCCGCCATGACAGAAATATCACTTGATTACCTGAACGAAGAAATGCTACAGAATACAGTACAGGCCATGCAAAGGGCAGCAGAGAGATCGGGCAACTTCCAATCGTGCAGCTTTTGTTTTCAGAGCTATTCATTTATCACAGGGTGTTCACTCCAATGTTCATGGCTGCTCGATATATTGTAAATATTGCGGCAACAAGCGGCTCGCTAGAGGTGGTCAAGTACATGCTCGACCACGCCGAAAGAATGGGATATGTGGATCGGTATAGTGTCTCCCCTGAGGTTGACGCCCTCACTCGTGCAATCGTGGGTGCTCAAGCGGAGGTGGTTGATTTACTGCTCACGCACAGAGGACTGCGATGGAGCTTGCGACAGGCGCTTCTAACCGCTATAGACAGAGGTGATACCGACCTCACAGAGAGGGTAGATGGTGTACATTTCCCTGCCAAGTTTCTAGTTTTACCAGCCATCTTGCAAATGACATTTAAGGCTGTGTGGAGTCACACCATTTTTAATTTTAGGCTACGGCATTTGGCGATTTGCATGAAAGCCGCTTTTCTCACGAGTTGCATTTCTGCCCATCACACTTTTCAAGCAGGTTGCAAACCTGGTCAAATACATAGAGCCTACGTTATGCCGTAGCCTAAAATTAGCCTAGGATCA